TTCCTGGTTGCCGCTGACGTGAATTCACGTCATTTTAAATTCTATTCCTGATTGCCGCTGACGTGAATTCACGTCATTTTAAATTCTATTCCTGGTTGCCGCTGACGTGAATTCACGTCATTTTAAATTCTATTCCTGATTGCCGCTGACGTGAATCACGTCCATGACGATACACGATACAAATTTGCGGCAACCAGTTTTAGAATTTCATTATTTCCCCCGGTACTCAGTATTTGAAACGGAAAAAATTTGCCGGTCGCGAATGTGTTAAAAGGTTTATTTAAAAAGAAAAATCAGGTAAATAGGATCGAAGGATCGTTCAATGACCAAACCGGAAGGACGGGATCCCCGATCCTGGCAAGAGTTTCTCAAGGGTGCTCAGAACCAGGAAGTCTGCCACGTTCTATCGTTCTTCGAAGACGACACGTGGCCCTCACGTGGCTTCCTGTCTAGTTTTTCCACGTCTAGCCAGCACATGCGCGATTGCGTAACAAAACACACAAATCATACGCACACCAGAAGAAACAGAACAGACTGATTTATGCCCAAGGAGCAATGCCCTATTTCCATCTTCTCGTGTCGCGGACTCGCGAAACGGAAGGTACTCCTTCTAAACCAAACGATTATAATTTTCTTAATCATACTTTTAAGTACGTTCATTTTAAACATCAGCGTTGCGTAAGGAAATAATGATTACCTGGTATAGGAGACATTAAAAAGAAAAATAGGTGAAAGCGATGCCCTAGGCTACCATAATCGTACCTGAAGCTACTTTGTTACAAATAAAATGAAACGATCACTAAACGATGCAATTCACAAGACACGTACTAGTCATTGTCCGATAACTAGACGTCTAGTAACATATCCCACTTTCCCCTGATTTGCATAAGACAACCACATAAAGGCACCGTATCTTGAAAGAAAACCCCTTTTTTCGTCGTAATCGCATAATTCGTTTCTTGGCGTATCTTACATTTCAATTTATCTGCAAAATTATTAAATCATCATTCGCCGTGGAAATTAAATATGTGTCTTAAACATTTAAGTTAACTGCGTTTATCTCTCTGTTTACGCGCAATGAGGCCTAAACTGAATATTAACCGATTATTGATGTTCGACACAAGTATGTTAACCTACCAGAATTGATCTGCATAAATTAATTAATAAAGATTACCAGATTAGAAAGTCTGCGAAATGATGCACTTTACAATGCAGCAAATCCCGCAGGACATGTTTCGACGTTTCATGCAAATTTTGTTATTAATCTATAGTATGTCGAACTAATTTACGCCGATGGAAGAGAGAAGTTCCGGAACCACACAATCGCGAGGCCGAAATCGGCCGTTCGAGTGAGCGGCGAGCGCGTCCTCGGTTAGGTGGANTTTGTTATTAATCTATAGTATGTCGAACTAATTTACGCCGATGGAAGAGAGAAGTTCCGGAACCACACAATCGCGAGGCCGAAATCGGCCGTTCGAGTGAGCGGCGAGCGCGTCCTCGGTTAGGTGGAAGAGCGCGTTAAAAAGCAAAAAGAAAATAGAGAGAAATAAAAGGCAGGATGAAGGATGCGTATGCATTCGAAAGCGCGATGTCGGACTAACCGCTCGGAGGGAAGAAAAAGGATTTCGGTAATTACAAGAGGGTGAGAGGACGCAGGGCGTCGGGGCGCCTAGTAAATCTTGCGGGCCGCTTCTCTTCCTCCTTATCCGAGCATCGACTCCGAGGCCACCCCCGGCCCGCCCCCTGGCCGAAGATTTATTTTATTATTTGTTGGATTTACTGCCGGCTACCGTTTATTGGAATCCCGCGTCGATCGGAGATTATGAGGGCCGCGGGCCGAAAATGAATTCCTAGGCCGCGAGACACCCACCAAACAAGCAATTACCTGGACCCGGACTACATCCTGGGACAGGTGTTTGACAAAGGACCAAAAAGGACGACAGATGTACCGATCGAGTCGAACCGATCCCCGGGATGCCTGGAAATTCGGCGAAATCTCCCACCGAATTACGCGACGAATCTCGAGGGGAAGAGTCAACCACTGGGAACGTTCCGCCATTTTCCGGGAGGCTATTTCGCAAACCTTCTGGAACGTGTTCTCAAGGAATCGGGCCGTATCGAGTGACCACGTGTCTTACACATGTCGAGATAACGCGGCTCCACACTCGGCCGAATGGCTTCCCCTTAAGGTGTCGAAGTTAATTGCCAGTTTTCTCATCTCGTTAGCGTCCGTTCCCGTGACGTTTGCCCCCGTCACTTAAGAGTACCGGCCGGCCACGTGTGAGGGAAATCGGCCGCCATCTTGGATCCCAGATGGGCTCTTATATGGGGTGCCTTTATAGCTTGTATTCTCGTATTTCTGGTCGGCCACGACCACGAGATACATAACTAAATGCCTCGCCTTTCCCTGGAAGCAATTTCCCAATAACCACAAAGTACTGCGATTCACGTATCGTAAAATTAGTGTAAATAGGGTGGCAGGTGTAAAAGTTAAACATTTACCTCGATGTTTTCTCTACGTTTAATGTAGATTTATAAGAGACGTTGATTGTACGTGTTAAGTCTTCGATGCGTTTATCCCCAGTCGAGAAGAAAGGTGTACTTCATTGTAATGTTTTACCGTCATTTCAACGCATAGTAAACGATTATGTTAAGTACAGACTACGTTTAAAAGACGTTCATATTACACGAGTAAACGATAGGTTAATGAACCCGTGACATCAAAATAACCAATGGTTATGTAAATTTACATGGGCCTTTTTATCAGTATATACCCTGTTTGCAGTATACGCGTCAAGTACGTATGAAAATGAAAGGAATAAGAAATAGAAGTTCCTCCATGCACAAAGGTTTTCAACGCGATATCTCTACCTTGAAGGTAGAGATGAATAGAAAGTTTCCTGCATTTTGATAACGATACGTATGTAATAATTGGAGTATCAACACGTGCGCAATCCCCGTCCACCGACGTCTCTTCGCGTCGACGTGCACGTGCCTTACCTTCCATTCTCTGACGGATCAACGAGGTATCCCAACCTCGTTAAAATTACCGATATTCCCGGCTTTTTAACCGCGGCGTGTACGCGACGGAATTATTTATCGCCCGCGCGTATGTCGCGCCCGGGTAATTATACCGCGGAATGTTTGCAGTCGAGCTCACATCGCAAGAGCCCCACTCTCTGGGAAAACACTTCAGCTATGATGATAGATTACATAGATACGGGATTCGTAAATTCGGTAAACGTGTTAATTAAAACGTCACGCCGAATAACTATCCGCCGCCGCGGCGCCTCCTACTGGTATCCGCAAAAGCGCGGCCATTTTGGCGAACCCAGTAAATCCATCCTAAAATCCCGTATAAATTCCAGGGCGCTTAAACGCTGTCTTTTAATTCCCACTTTAATTCCAATAATAATCCTTCAATTAATTAACCGATAATGGAATCTATCCAGAGGTCTTCGACATTTATGACCGAGCCACGCCGCGGCGCCTCCTACTGGTATCCGCAAAAGCGCGGCCATTTTGGCGAACCCAATAAATCCATCCCAAAATCCCGTATAAATTCCAGGGCGCTTAAACGCTGCCTTTTAATTCCCACTTTAATTCCAATAATAATCCTTCAATTAATTAACCGATAATGGAATCTATCCAGAGGTCTTCGACATTTATGACCGAGCTACGACCGAACGGAATTCCTCCTCTGGGTGCAGAAAGCACGGATCGCACCCATTAAAACACCCCACAAGGCCTGTTAACTACTTCCCGGAGTCCTTTGAGATTACTTAAATAGTTTTGCGAAACCAGGCTACTTTCCTTCCTGGCTGAAAGACGCGAGAAAGTAACCGGTCACTTGTGCCGGTAAATCGGGGAAAATTCGCGTCCGACGATCAGCTTCTCGACTGTTAAGGTGAAAATACTCCCATCCACGATCTCAGCTGATTAGGTTGCCATTTATTGAACGTGTTCGATGATAACATGATAGGTTCGGGATGCATATTTACGTGCGCTAAGCGTGCTGCGATACGGAGGAAATAAACCCGTGTACTTGTGGAAATGAAAACGATCTCTGTCGGTCATTCTGCTCTTTAATCGTGATCCTGGGTGTCGAATTTTTCTCTTTTCTTTATCCGGCGCCTTATTACGGTACAGTAGTTATAGTAATATATGGCAAGATCATTGGTCAATAAATACTTCTCTTCCGGCGGCTAGATTTACCAAATAATTACCTCGCGAGCATCGCCCGCCTACGATTAACGCCCTAATTCATTAATCTTCCTTCCCGTTCTCCTTATTATCATTAACTTAATAACACATTCTGAGATTATCACGTCTCGAGGATATTTTACCTATTTTAAAGAATTTACAGAGTGTCTCGGTTTCTCATGGCGAGGATTCCTGCAGGACGCATCGCATTAAGGCGGGTCAGTAATAACGCCTAATCGCCGTTAACCTAAGTCTCGGGTAAAAGGATATTACTTTGAGACGATTTATATCGACGCATCCTGGAGAAAAATCCTAGACGTCATCTGGCGGTGTGCTCTTAACAAAGTATACGTACATGTACATCCTAGAGAACTTTGTCATCGACAGACGCTTTAGGAATACGCTGTAAAAAATTCACTGCTATGCATTGACATACCTCGTGGACTTATATACACTTTTAGTTAAATCGGTGTTAATTAAACGCCATCAAATGGTACCTTTACATTCGCATAACACGATCTCCTGTCTACATAAGACCACGCAGTCGATTTTAACAACGTACGAGAGAGCGTTTTTTCATTACACCGAAATTTATCCGTGCCTCTTAAACTCTTCGAGCGGCCATCTTGGGTTGTGTTCCGAAATATACCATCGTTATTAACAAGCACTGGAAGTAAAGGAGTATTCAAAATACATACACATCGTCCTAGTATTTTCTAAACGCGTTTGCAGTAAAATTCATCCGTACAAAGAACTCCCTCAGGCGTCATGAAAATGATGAATAACTTGGTGAAAAATACAGACAGGCTGACTGTTTAATAATCTTTGAAAAATTTCTCTGCTCGTTTCAGATGCACGAACGCAGCTCGATGACTCTGATGCCAATCGGTTAAGGCGAGCGAACAGTAATGGGTAATTGATAATCGACTAATCGCTAATAGTAATGAAAGCTGATCTCGTAATTATTTGGAAAAAATAGACACCCTTTAAGTCTATGTCCTACTCGCTATGAACTAGAGGTTTCTTTCAGCATCGGCCAGCAGTCACTAAGGTAATAGTGCGCGCGGATTCTAACGCTAGTTTATCACTAACAGTAGACCCTTAAAAGATTTAGGTAACACTATGTACACTTCAACACTCGTCCAATGATTACTCTCATTATTATTCAACAGTATAACAAAGTTTCGTCAGGTTTCACCGGGACTCGCCCTCGGGATGCCCCACCGCGGCCACCTAGGAACCAAATTCGAAATTCGACGTTTCCGCAGCCTCCGCACTCTGCCGATTGTCCGTCGGTCCTTCGAGGACGAGCTCGAGATCCTTTTTCGAGTTTCTTCTCTTCTCCTTCCTTCATAGGACCGACTTATTGCGAGGCAATCGCGGATCCGCTAATCCGCGGAATTCGCAGGTCGCCAATCAGTTTGGCCAACGAGGTTGCGGGATCCGCTTCTAGAACCAGAACATGTCTTTGGAGTCTTGGACCTGCGATTCCAAACCTGGAACAGAAAGATTTACCGGATTAGCGATTAACCATCAGCGTTTTGCATCTTTTAAATGAGCCGCTCAGTGCACACATCGACTAACTCCACTTTTTGAAAAATCTTAAATTTAGGTGTCGAAGCACTTGGTATAGTCATAACTTTTTATATTTATAATATCTTTCCTCATTAATAGAGATTAACACCATTAAACGGCAAGATTTTTTTGGGCATTGAATAATAAGTAATTTATTTCAGAAGCCATTTTGATTAACTCCATACTCTAGTGTAAATCGTAGACGAATACCTGGCAGTATAGTATTATTGGATTATCTGTTGCGGCCGTACATCGACGCTTTTTTTTTTAAACAGCCGAAGATGCTTTCCCCCTTTCAACAATATGAGTAATAAAATCGCATCAGCTAACAGATAGAAAGAAGCGCAATGCAGACGGTAGTTGGTATAACAGGGATCTCTCACGCTGAATGTTACCGTATACTTCACCAATATTACACGGACTACATATTTTTTGGTCTTTTCAACGTTACTCCCTGATTGTTTTTAAGGAACTAAATATCATACCGTTATAATCAAGATGAGTGAAACTAATAACAATGTGGATGTGGAAAGCAGGGATGATTCTTCAATACGATTTATCAGCAGAAAGTCTGGTGCTAGAAGACGTTTATCGTGTTTCTCGGATTCATCTGATTGCAACGGTACAAATTCCCCAACAAACACATCGATTGGGAGGAAAAGAAGTCGTAATCCTGATAAATGGGCACGAAATTTACAAAAGCGTAACAGAACAAAAGGTTTGGCATACAGGAATAGGGGAGGAAATTTAATACCTGCAAAAACATTTGTCGATATAAAATGCAGACGATTATTTTTTGGCTATTCTTTCTTATTAATTTTATATATCGTTAGATGAAAACTATAACTGTATTTATGTATTCTACATTATATATTTGAAGTTATATTATAATAGGAATTTTAAAAAAGAATCTACATTACTTCATTGCATTTCTCAACTTTTTGTTTTATGGAGTTAATCAATGTGTGCACTGAGCAGCTCAAATATTTATTCACCGTTCGATATATAGTACTAGGGACGAACGATGAGGACAGACACATAGACTAAATGACGAGGGGCCATTCGCATCAGTGAAAACGATTTCCTTATTATATATTCGAAAACCGATTACCTTCGATTTTATATCACGTACAACAATGCGATTCGGTAACAAGTGACGTTCGGCCTTGAAATTCTGGCAATATTTCGGTGATATCCAACGATTTCCAATATTAAATCTGTGATTCCCTGAAGGAATAACCCCTCGCTCAGCGACCACTTTTTCCTCTATAAAGTGCAAGTAATAGCTGCACTGTATGGAAATTATGCCTTTCAGATAACTTTTAAGGGTTTTAGTAACAGAAGATAATTAATAAATAGTGTGGAGAAATTTTATTAATATAGAGTATGATAGGGTGCGAGGGGTTATCCCCTCGCACCAGGAAATCATATGGAAATCAGCTGGAAACTGCAAGCAGATATAACTGACCGAATTACATTGTTGTTTGTCATGTTAAGGCGATATGAAAGGGCCTTTCTTACAAAACATCAAAATATGTATAAAACTTTTCTCAAAACTGGGTGCGCCGAATCATTTGAAACTTTAACACGTGATTATAGAAGCTCTAAGGAAGAACTCGATGTTCGTGAAATTTCATTTTTCATAACAAAAAACGTGATTTTGGTTCTAGTCNCATTTAGCAGAGGGAAATGTCGTCACAAATAGGATAGTTTTACCGCGTGCGTGCGTGCGTGCGTGTTTGTGTGTGTGTCAGGTGGCAGCTTTCGGGACATTTTCAGATACCTATCGTATACTAGTGGGACACTTGGTGTCTTTCAGGACCGTCTTGAAAGATTTGTTTATCAATCGTTTATTATCAGGACAGTCCTGAAAATGACCATTACGAATGAAACAGTTGTTTCAATACCGTAGTATGGACTTACGTAGTAAAAAAGCATTTCTTTTTCTATAATAATTTCTAAAGAATACAAATTCTGGCACTTGAATGATTACATGTAATAATATTTCGATTTTCTTAAGCATTGTGGGCTTTCAGGACACTTTTTTTTATCATTCGTTCATTATCAGGACAGTCCTGACAATGACCAGTAAATAGGAAGGACGTATTATATTACGCGTAATGTACTTAAAAACGGTCCTTAAATTGTAACAAAACCTTGAAATCCGTAACGAAGAAATCATTCTAGTCTCGGACTGGTTATAATTTTATTCCATGAATAACTTTGGAAAATTTAAGACCATGCTCTCGTATGCTGAAATAATAAAGTTGCTTTTTTTTATAATGTTAGACCCGTTTTAATAAAGAACACTTGGTAATTACATGTCGTGCCAAATCCCAAGGAAAATGGAAGGGTAGAATATGTGTTTAAAAATAGATAAGATAAGCGTTTTGAATGGTGACGAAAGAAAAATCTGTTATTATCCTATAAGATGTCGCGACGTCTCGCTTGGTGGAGAAATCATGAGCTGAATGTTGTTTGGAATTATGTATATGGATTTTAGGTAACGATAGTTGTACTTTTGTGGTCCTCAGCGAACGCCCTACGCGGACGTTCGACACTGGTAGGTTCTAAAGGAGATGAAGGAGAAACTAGAGGAAGAACGAATGAAACGAAAGAAAGATTTTGAATTCACAATGTAAGGAAGTTCACTCAAAAAACCTGTCGAAGGTTACAAAAAGAATAGGCAAGAGTTCGAGAAAGAGAAATACTGCTCGCGAGTTGTGCGTATGTGCGGTGTGATTAGACAACTACCTTGGGCGTTGGTCAGTTGAATGTATCAGTATTGGGAACGTATTGAACTGATAGTATTAAAACTAATGTCCTTGCATTCGTATCACCGTATCGTTGAAATTTCTACGTACGATATATTTATTTACATTTCTAGAGTATATAGGTATAACACGTATAAAACTTAAGAGCATCATTTACATCCTTTTTTGCACCACCTATCAGTGTCAATTTTAAATACAAAAACCGTAATTCTAAACTCAGTAAATGTATAACGTACAGATGCAAGTATATTGGAGACTAACGCATGTACCTTTTTTTTTCATCACATACATGCAACAGATGTAGTCATTTTGTGTTGATCAATGTACATATATGGTACATATTTGTACTATATACATGTACATGTACAGTACGTACTTGTACCATATATGTAATTATATTATAAATCGTGTGTTTTCAGGACTGTCCTTTTTGCTAATAGGTAGTAATCAGGACAGTCCTGAAAATGACCGATTAATAGGAAATACTGGTTATGTCATTCCATATACCCAAATGTGACGCTCACAATCAGTGAGTATCATTGCCGAATATTACCAACAGATAATGACCACTTGAGCTTTTAAATCTGTTTTTTGAATTTCAACAATTCCTACACGTGTGTAGAGAGTCTAAACTTTATTCTTCTGGCACGAAGGCTATTGAAGCTCTGATTCATTTTATTCCATTGTCCTACACACAACCTATGGTATGCGTGTACAACAATCTCATGATCTTGACCGGTCCACTGTAACACATTGTTGACCGGCAATTTTACAACGCGTCATTCCGGCAAGAGTTAACTCGTGACCGGTTAACAACGTGTTAATCACTTACAAATAATTACTGATCAGTCTCAACAAAAAATGGCAAAGGAACTTTCAATCGCAAATTATTATCCCTGCCTGTCCTCTGATGGTTAGATGGTGGTTCTTGTATAACCATATTTCAAGGTTCATCACATTATTAAACGATTAAGATGATATGAAAGTAACATCCGAGGGGGCAATGGTTCATGAAACATTTCGGTACACTCGATGTATCGAATCATTCGAAACTTTATCCCAAAAATGTAGACACCCTAAGGAAAATCCTGGCAATCGTACAATTTAATTTATTATAAAAAGTGTTAAAAATATCTATAGACATTTTTTTAACTCCTTAAGTAGGGCAGAATCGGATGCGGAGATGTGCCACCTGTACGGAGAGCTTTTCCGCGGAGTGCCCATTTTTTATATGAAGACGATATTCATTTATCGCTTTGAATTCGTGGGAATAAAGGGAGCCGCTATAATGGCGGTTTGGCATTAAAGGGTCAAATTAAAATTCCATTGATGTCCTTCCTTAGGACCTTGATATTCTCACGAGGTAAAGTTTGAAACGATTCGGTAGATCCAGGTCGGAGAAAAGTTCCATAAACAAGCTTCTCCGATGCCACGTTCATGTGAACATTTTAATTCACATATCCATTTTTATTGTGTTTAGTCCTAGAACAAAATGTTCGGAGAAACTTATAGAGTTTATGATGATCAAAATATTTATTGAGCAACAATCATGGATAAGTGCCCCATCTCACGATAATGTTTTGAAATCTATCAATACATGTGAAGACCTGAAAAACACCTATCGCTCCAGAACGTCCTAGAAACTGCCAATACTTTAATAGTCCTGAAAGCTACCGGTAGGGCTAAATTCTTTCATATATTTCTGTTCTCAGGTAATGAAACAAAAAAAAACTTATGAAACTTATTCGAGTTTGAGTTGTTAAACTTAAATGTCGAATATTCAAAACATTTAATGAGCCAAATTGTAGATACCCGTTCTATTTCACTACATGTCCTGAAATCTACCAATACGCTTGTAGACCCGAAAGACACCTATCGCTCCAAAACGTCCTGGAAACAGCCAATACCTAAATGGTCCTGAAAGCTACCGGTAGGGCTTTATTCTGTTATATATTTTTGTTCTCAGGAAATATAACAAAAAAACCTTATGAAACTTATTTGTATTAANAAAAGCAAACGATTCTCAATGAAAGAAATAGTTTTTACTAAGTTAGCCCCTCGATGGGGTGTATGGCAAAATTCATCTAGGTTTGTAGAACCAAATCGTCTGCAATTATATATTAAAATATGCTTCATCTAAGGAAATA